GCCTAATAAAACATGAGCCGCGTTGGCGCAGTGGTGATAGTGCAGTACTGCAGGCTACGTCTGCTGCCTGCTGGCTGTCTGCAATGCCAGGTTCAAGGTTGACTCAGCCTCCCATCCTTCCGAGGTGGGTAAAATGAGGACCCAGATTGTTGGGGGCAAGAGGCTGACTCTGTAAACCGCTTAGAGAGGGCTGTAAAGCACTGTGAAGCGGTACATAAGTCTAACTGCAATTGCTAATGGCATCACTTTTAATAGCTTCACCACTTTGGGTTCTGTGTGAATTTTGAAGGATCCAAGAAGGTGGGAAGAAAAGAATTTGCAAATCAAGAGGGTGGGTTTCTGTTTTTCTCTCATATCTTTTCCCTTCCATTAAAATATTCAAAGTCTTCCCACTTTCCCCCTACCATAAACTGCTACAACAACCTCTCCAGAAAAACAGGACAGAAAACAGGGGGGGAAAAATCAGGTGCTAAGAAATGAAGTGAAATCACATACGTTTACATTCCTATATAAGTCCAGGATATATTAACATGGCACTCACTCTGAGAGGCATAAAGATCCTCTGTTGCCTTATTTTCATGTCCCTCAAACTCTCGGCTGGCCAGTTGCCTATTTGCAGTCTCCAGTCGGTCTGCACAGGAAGGAGAAAGATTTTAAGAATAAAATATATCAATGTGTGTATTGCCCTGAATGCTTGAACGGTAAGAGGCAGGCTAACAAGTGTGACATTAAAAAAAACTTTTAAAAAGAGAGATCCGGAGGGAGAGAGAAACTAAATAGCAACAAGATCAGGCGAGAGAATAAGGAAGAATGATGTAAGTCAAGGGTAGAGGGTCTCTTCGGGAGAATTGCAGCCTAGCTCCGTGTTGGCGAAACTATGGCACACGTGCCACAGGTGGCACTTGGAGCCCTCTTTCTCTCTCTGTCACCCCAGCTCAGCTCCACTGCGCACACGCCTCCCTCTGGCCAGCTGATTTTTGGGTCCCTGCTCCACATGCACAGGGTATGGAGTGCATACGGGAGATGTGTGCATGTGTGGGGGGCATGCCCCCAAATCCCATTTTTGGTCCCAGGAGGCTTCAGGGAGGCCTGCTGGGCCCAAAATCAGGGGGGACGCACATGCGCGGGAGGGCAGGGCACACGGGGAGGGGGGGTTGTTCACGTATTGCATTATGGGTGTCCCCCACATCCCATTTTTGGTCCCAGGAGGCTTCAGAGAGGCCAGCTAGGCCCAAAACTGGGTGGTGGAGGCGCGCACATGCGCGGGAGGGCAGGATGCACCGGGGGGGTGTTCGTGCACACATTGCACTATGGGTGTCGTACTTGGTTCCACCACAAAACCGCAGTAGACAAAAGCGCGCTCGACGAAAGCGCGCATGTGACGTCATCACAGCGCGACGAA